ATGAATCACGGCCAGATTATGTTCTTCATAAATAGACTTCTACAAGACACTGTTGTACACCGTAACTTCAAACCACTCCTTATCTACTGTAGCTCATCTGCTTTCTAACAATAAATAGCTCTSATTTGAGAAGAGTGGGATGTCTAAGGCCATTTGGTAGACACTTTTGTCYTTTTCTAATTGAGATGTACTCACCTCCGTTTTGAAGCCACATGAATTACACACTTTTTGTTTAGATTGCTTTTGCGTTGCCAGCACGCTGTAAGATCTGCTAAATAACAGGAGCCCTGTGTGTATAGCTTAGACCCCCAGGATAAAGTATTATTAGAATCCATTAGTATTGCCAATCCTCTGGGCTGTGTAACATTTCCTTTCACACCGTTTGTAAACCAACAACTTTAATTATAAATCAGGCCGTGTATCTTAAATTAGTTGCATCCTAATGACTATCCACAGTTCTTAGCGCAAAGGGAAGTGATAGAAATTTATGTACTTTCAATAWATAAGCAATTACAGTTCTCAGACACTTCCCAGTCAGTGGGTCAAACCTTTGTCCATCCTTTCCAAATACATCACCTGGTATGATCTCAGGGTAGTCTAAAATCTGCCCTGGCACCACCTTTTTGATTATTTCCTGCTTCTTCAAATGTAGTATTTCCCAGCAGTTATTTAATAGTTACCAGAAAGATCCCAAATTTATTCCTCTTTAATGACAGAGTATGATAGAACCACAGAATATCATGAGTCAAAAGGGACCTACAAGGATCATCAAAATGCAACTCCTCGCCCTGCACAGGACCACCTCAAGAATCACACCATATATCTGAGAAAATTGTCCAAGCACTTCGTGAATTCTGAGGTTTAGTGCTGTGACCAYTTCCTCAGTGCTCAGCAGTGAAGCAATAAAAATTGAACAGCCTTCACCTCAGTGAAGTGCTCAGCCACYTCTGGRGGAAGAATTTTTTCCTAATACCCAGCCTAAAACTGCCCCAGCACAGCTTCATGCCATTGCCTCCCATAAGAGCTAAGGTTTTCTTCACTTCATAAAGGAAACACAGATCTTCAACTTTGACAAATGTACAGAGAACAAATGACTTTTAYAGAATTATGCCCTTTGTACTAAATGAAGGATCAGCCCTGCAAGATATATTTAGGCATGAAGTGATTTGCCCTATATAAAGCAGCCTGCAGCACATGTTCTCTTTGGTAGTGACAAGCAAATGTCACCCAGAGCAAGAACTCTCTGAAACCTTACACTAACAATGGATTCCACCTCCTCCTTGCTGTCTTGGGGAGGCTGAATCCAGAAACATGATTTATCTCCCTGACAGGACAGGGCTCTGGGCCAAGATTCCATACAATTTACCACCAGGGAATTAGGGAATCCTTAGGGAATTGACACTGTGCTATATCACCCTACAAACAGAAGATGCCCAGAAAGATAGACAGACAGGCAAAGTCCTCACACTACTCTCTGAAGCAAAATCAAAAGGAGTGTTATTATTATGCAGTAAGCTAAGAATGCCTAACAGGAAAAATTCTTGCAATACACTTGAGCCCACATGCAGAGCTGACTTAGCAGCCACTGACATGTGCTGTGCATTTTTTAAGAGAAATGAGGTAATTGTAGAAAAATTTTAGGAGCCGAATTTTTATTAGAGATTTGAAAGAATTCTGGTGTATAAATTATTTCCTTGAATAAAAGAAATGGAGCAGAATGGTTTTCAGTATCTTAAGCAACAGAAAGTCAGATTGGTAAAATTACTTCTCCAGGTCTTTCTGTTGAAAAAATGATCTGATTCGAGTGCATTTGTAGCTTCGGACTGTGTGACAAAGCCTTACTTATACAATGTATCTAACATGGTACTGTAAGTATGGAGTAGGGTTCAAAAAGGAAAATCGGGCACTTCTCTACTGCTTTGTAAAGCTCAGTAGCACAGACATTCTTTGAGTATCTGCCAAAAAAATAAACAAGAGACAGGTCATGAATGTTTTAGGTCCCAGAATAAATTCCTTACAATATTATTTACAGAACAACAAAAAAAAGTTTTCACCCATAATTTCCTGTTGCCAAAGTTTTCTTTGCAGCTACATGGAGGTCTTCTGCTTTACTCTGATGGCATTTAAGTAAAAATGTGTACTCTAATCTAATTTGAAATCAAATTATTTTAAATCATGAGGACAAAACCAGCCCCAAATGAGATTTGCTGTCATTGCTCAAAATGCTGAATGTACAACAGTATGAAAATGTCTTTACTTTGAGAAGGTTGAAATCTGAATAGCACTGACATATGGTTTAAAGGATTAAAAAAATCCTGTTATCTCCATTATACAGATGGGAAATTGAGGCAGAGAAAGAATAAAAACTTGGCCAAGGTCAAATAAGAAACCTCATCATATACAACTTTCTAACATACCTCAATGTAAGTTTATAGTCACCTAAGAAAGAAACGAGGTAGTAACCCATGTAACATACATGGAAATCTTTTTCTTATCATTATTTCTAAAATAAGTTCAAACCAACACTGTCAATCTCCTCTGAACACAGTTTAATGATGGACTTGGCAGTGCCGCATTTACAATTGGACTTGATGATCTTAAAGGTCTTTTCCAACATAAAGCATTCTCTGTTTCTAGATGCTTATGAAGGGCACGGTAAAAGTATGCATGCACCACTTAATGAAATCAGAGTCCATCCTATAGCTGTCTGAACTACTTTTGAAAGGATAGAAAGTTAAATTAAATATACCAGTCTCAGAAGCTGTCGTTGCAAAGGAAAACTGCGTGATTGATCCTGTATCAGATACAATTTACAGCATGTGAACGTGACAGACATGGCTCCCTTTAATTACAGCAGATTAATGCAGGAAGACTTCTGCTGATGTCTAGACTTGTAGCAGGAGCARCTCAGCAAGGAGACAAGGAGAATCAGGTCCCTGTGCGGCAGGGAGATGGTGACACACTTTAGTGCTGACTTGACAGGAGGAAGAYTGCAGTATTCATACATGATAAATCACATGCATCGAGCTGAGCCAACAGCTTGCAGTCAGCACTTTCCTGCGAGCGGTGTGAGCACCACGACCACAGTGTAAAGCATCTCCTCACAGTCTTCCGAGCTCACAAATGATCTCAGCTTTTGCCCGCTTCTGATGAATAAGGAATGCCAAATGACTATTTCAGAGGTGGTTAGAGGATCGGGAGAGGKGAATCATGTTGGCATTATCTAAGGTCAGAGAGGAGGAAGCTGCTTCCAAGCACACTGACTTCCAGCCCTAGACAGCAAGTGCCTCCTACCACTCATATAAATAAACTAAGAGCCAGATTTGGTTCAGCAGTTTCTCTAGCCTTCATCACAGTCAGATACAGGAGGCTTGCCTCCTGCCTCAGCAATGGCAGTTGTTCTAGGTAMACACCCCAGTGGTTACATCCCTCTTTCACAGAGGAAGCTCTCACTAGTCTTTATTCAACTGGAAAAATAACTGTGTATGTGAGAATTAATAACACAGCCTCCATTAATTATTTACCTGTTGTGAAGGAGCTACAATTGAAACAAAGAAGCAGTCTTTACTGCTTATTCCCTTACGTTCTTGTCCCAGACAGGGAGAAGCATTGTTTTTAGTTTATCTCAATGTTTTGCTCATACCGAATGTTTCGGTTTTTTTCGCTAAGAACTCACTCTTTAAGAGGTGAACTTGACCAAGAAAAGGTCTCTGCAAACTRATTTTCAACAAAGTCCACTTAACAGTTTCCCAAGACAGTAATGCCTAGACATTATCCCTACACTTTGATCCCAAAAGTCTGATCTGCCCCTAATAAACATGCACTGTGAGSGTATCACTGAAGAAACAGGTCGCACATTACTCAGTCATGCTGAGGAWCTATGACTAACATATTGCCTTAAAAGCCCTAGGAAGGTGAAAAATTATTCCTAACTGTTTCTTACAAATACTTTGTGTCATGGTGAAAAAAATGCTGACTACCTTGTCTGGCTTTTTATAATATTAATATGCATCTACATGAAATTCTCTGCTTTGCATGAGTCCTGCTTTATCATTCATAGCATTTGTTTTAGAGGGTTAGCATTCAGTTGTTTTTAAAATAAAGAAAAAAGATAACTAACACTGGACACATTTAAAAACTTAAAATTTAGAATTTGTTCTAAATTCTCTCCATGACCAAACATGCAAAATACAAAGTGCCACCTCTTCCTAGCAGCAGTTAAAGGCACACAGAACATCCCTGACAGCACTTAGCATCTTGYTGAATAAGGAAGGCATTGGATAGCAAAAAAACCCCAGCATTTTGAATGTCAGTGAAACACAAGTCATCTCTCAACTAGAACATCTTTGTTGTTTCACAGAGCGTACCAAGTCTGTTTAAGAGTTTGCAACAGAAAAGACAGATACACAATGCATATTCCTCCAAAAGGTTTTTAAGTCAGCAGGATACAATCTTAAAGACCAGACGGTGAGCAGAGCATCACCCTACYATATTCCCCTGGCATGGCAGTTAAATCTTATCTTCAATTATCATACACAGTCAGATTTTAGTGTTGTGCTTCTTGCTGAAGAAAATCTAAGTTTCCAGAATGTTTGGTGTCTGAGGTCCACCCTGCTGTTGTTTCTCAGGCCCTCTATGCATTAGGTCACAGCTGATAAAAGTATCTGTTGTTTTGCAGAACCCCTAAAAAACACTAGAGATAATTCCAAGGCCTGCACAGAAGGAAGTCCACTTGCCCAAAGCCTTTGAAACATCTCTAATCACTGGGTATTGCACAATTACCATTCATGGCTTTCACTGACAATCAGTCTGGATTCTCTCAAAGGCTCAAAATGGATGTAGAAAAGGAGACAAATGTAGCAACAGTGCACTGGTATGCAGCCTATATCCTAAATCTCCTTGGCTGGAATAAAGATTTCTTGTTTCACTGTTGACATTAGGATAGTCAGTAAACTTTCCATCCAACTAAAGGAAACAAACTCCCTTGGAAAAATACATACCAAGTACATTRGCCGTACACTGGAGAATTCCTGAGACATCTTCAGTTTCTTCATTGCTAGAGCAGTCTGTATAGGAGCATCTGTTTGATATAYTGTGAAAATTCTTCTCTTCATCTCTGTAACTATAGTAAAAAAAAAAAAAAGTTATAACAACTCCTTATACAAAAGCAACGTCAACAAATGTCTTACAGAAGTGGTGGCAAAGGATTAAGACCTTCCAATGATGGACAACTTCACGATTCAGCCAGAGTACAGAGCTCACTTGTTTGTCARGAAAGGTTGGACTAGATGAGCTTTGAGGTCCCTTTCCAATCTGATATTCTATGATTGAAAAAGATTCCCTATTCTCCTTTTAAAAGAAACACTACACTTAATTAAGCAGTTGCCGTCTGAGGGATTGTAGAGAAGAAGGACTGAACAGCAATTTACTATTTACATCCAGATTATGTACTGCTATTCCACAGCATCTCTAAGAATTTGAAAGAAAAAATTAAAAATTAAATTTAAAAGCTTATCATGCAAGGCTGTGAAATGGGAAGCACAGAGCAAAACATTACCAYGCACCTTTCACTGCCTYAYATTAACACTTACCCAATAACTTGATGCTCAAAATGCTGCAGTGTCTTTTGAAGAGTTTGCCGAATGGTCTGAGGCTATGGAAGAATAATTTTAAAAATTGTGAGATTAGGGAATTGTAGCACAGTTCAATTAACAGATCTTCTAACGCACTATTTTTCTGCAGTTTTACTCCTCATTATCTTCCACCTGCCATATGCTCACCACAACAGCAGATATGAAATATTATTATTCATTCCTTGTATCTTACTTCAGCATTTAAATAGGAAGAATTTTACAATGTGACATAATTAATACTGCTTATAAGGCTAGTTGCACATAACAAAGGAGACACTTCACTCACAAAAACAGTTCTCAAAAACTATCACCCAACTATCTCACTAATTTAAAATAATTAATTTGAAATAGTCTGTAAGAAAATGCTATTATTTTCTGATGAAAGTATCACCAGGAAAACACATTCAGTTTTTAAACTCTATATGTTCCCTAGGGCATTTGCTAATAAATAGTATGATMAAGATGCAATTTATTTTGGTTTACTTTCCTGACAAGCTATGACTCTTCAGTCATCTTTCAAATTATCAAGAAAGTCAAGTTCCTCAAAAGAAAATAATTATATGCTTCRAGCATTTCTCTGCTATTTCACTTGATTAGGTGTTCACCAAACTACATRTGTGTGTAACTGTTTTTATTTGTATTATTGCTACTATAGTGTTCATCAAAATACTTATGTACATAAATGTTTCTTTTCAGTACTGCTGCTGAGGCTGTTATTATTTTGAAGGAATTCATGACAACAAATAAAGCACATGTGACATCCATGTAATTTTCCCTTTTGAATTTTACAAATCACTTATGGCAAAAGATTATTCCTCCAAAATGACTAGTTTGCACCAAATCTGAGGTTCTTCACCTGCCTATTTTGACTCATGCCAGAGGTCACACAGGGATTACACAAATGGGATTTWAAAGCTTTACTTTCAAAAAGCACACATGGACATTTTTATCAGACTCACAACAACACACAGTCAAATTTGAGATATACTTGGTCTTTTCCTGCCCTTTGGAATAAACATCTAAATGCTTTAGAAAGTAACAGTCAAAATGCYCCTTATATTAGAGGAATTTCATTCTAAAACCCCAATCACCTTTGAAAGTCTCRAATTTTGCTTACTAACCTACAAATTCAACAGTTCAAGAGCTGAGCTTTCTGCCTACTCTTGCTCATGAGTTTGCAGAAGGAGGCATTTGTCTTGATGACAGCAGGAAGAAAAAAGTGTATACCAGGCTACAGTTGTTTTTTGTACAACTGCAAAAATCTATTTTCTAATACCAAACTACAAGAAAATGTCCCTCTTTTGAATCGAAAGAAATGCATGCACTGAACAAGAGCATAAGAAGGTTTATAGGAAAGATGGCGATGTTTTAGCAGAGCCTGTTGCAGTAGGAAAAAGGCAATGATTTAAAACTAGAAAAGGACAGATTTAGACCAGATAATAGAAAGAAGATCTTTACAGCGAGGGTAGTGAAACACTGGAACAGGTTGTCCAGAGAAAGTGGCAAGTGACCCATGCAAAAACACTCAAGGTCAAGTTGGATAGAGCTCTGGACAACCTGATTTAGCTGAAGATGCCCCTGCTCATTTCCAGGGAGGCTGGACTAGGTTGAAGGTCCCTTCCAACCAAACTATTTTAGGATTCTATGAACAAAAAATTAACTCAACATGGATGCAAACCTTGAAAGAGGTTTTCCTTGTTAACTCTGTGTCAGATATTCACCTGACTTCTCTGTGGGAGCAGTTACCTGTGCCAAAAGGCTTTAAAAGTTGTGCATTCTCTTGTAAAACAGTGGAAGCCATAAACAGTGGAACCATATGAGTGAAACCATCACATATCAAAAAACATCCCTCCTCAGTGGTACAGGAGGTGTCGAAGTCCTCACGCCTGATTGACTACAAATATATTTCATGGCATGTTCTCACAGAGATGCGGAAGCTTTCCTTTGCTCAGCAGRCAGAAAAATCTACACTTCACTCTTCACCTTTCTTTACAGAAAGGACGTATTGTCTCACACCACTAACAAAGCAAAGCTGAATAGCTTTAAGCAAAGAAGTGAGAGCTGCCCTTTCCCATCTCCATACTGCATTTCCCTCAGCCCCACTCCCGTAGGAGGACACTCATACTCCACCAGCAGCTCCTCTGACATGAAATAGGAAATAATAGAAATGTTTGATTGCTAAATTAAATCTTACTTCTGGTTCTCCCCAGGTGCTTTCACAGCAAGCATATGGAAGGCAGCAATGCTTGGTACCACAGCAGAGAGGAAGGAAAACAGCTTTTTGTCTTCTTTTGTCTAGGAAGTTTTGCAGCTTAGAACACCTGAGCTATCGTCCATGGATTGTCTTTGCCTTTCCCATGCCAGGCACACTCTTTCTGACTATCTCACAATTGGGCAATACAACCAATCTCCTAGCCCTGAATTTATTTCATTGGTAAACCTCACTTCTCCCGCAGTGCTGAATGGAAAAAAAAAAAAAAATCACRTTAACTTTCTCTTCTGAAAGCTAAATCAGCCTAGCTGTTGTCAKACAATTCTAAACAACCCCATGAACTCATCCCCCTTTTTACAGGCAACTCCTATCAAACCTTAGAAATTAAATACAGACAAAAGTAGGATTTACTATTAAAATACAAGTCATAAACAGAGCTCTATATAATGTGCTCAGAGCCAGTATGAAACCGATCCAAGGAGTCACAAAGCCTTTCTTCACCTCTGACAAGAATTATTATGGCAGGTTGCTGTGCATCGTTAAGAAGGCACTATGCTCACCTTCTCAGTTTGCTGCATTTCATCACTGGTGAATGTCATTTTGCCASAGATGTAATTCTGTAACCAGGGCCATGTCTAAACAAAACAGTGAGAAGAGATATGACACCTGTTTACAGCTGCCTACAAGGGCACTTTGGTGTGTTACTTCTTCCACTCTGATAATGTATTGCCTGTGAGACAGAGAATGAGAAGGAAAACATTTCCACCTCTTTTCTGTATCCAGGAACAGGAATGGATGGAGGCAAAACAGCTAAACCTTCTCCTAGTAGCAGGGCACACATGACCGCTCCCAGAAGCACAGCTCTACCACTCAAATTGGTTGTAAAGCTTCATGGCTACTTAAAATTAAAAGATTTAATGTGAATGTAAACCAGTGACTATTACCTAAACAAATGTCAACAATGTCAACAATTAACTTAAATGTCAACAATTCCTTTTAATTATGATGATCTGCTAATATTTGGTATGCATCACAAGAGAAATAGTTACATCAATTCATGTTTCTAAGGACAAATCAAAGTAACACAAGTTATTGTTATTCCTAAATGTAAATTAATCCAAGGATTGCCATACCAGATCACATCCAAGCACCATATGGAATGATGATATATAAGGTATAAGGGAACACTGGAGATTCTCAGACTGACCTCTTGCATGGCAGAGAACAGAGGACTTCCCTAAAATAATTCTGAATTCAGACATCAGGCCATGGCTAACCCTAATGTATCAGAGTAATTTGTAAAAAATAACTGAATCAATGAGTCATACAGATCTGATGGAACCTCTGGAGCTCTTCTAGACCAGTGTTCTGGTCAAAGCAATTTGAGTTAAAACTGGTTGCTCAGGTCATTCTGCAGACAAGTTTTGAGTGTCTCCAGGGAAGACAACCCCACAACCTCTCTGGGAAACCTGTGCCAGCATCTGAACACCCTCATGACAACTCTTTTTTTGTCATAATTCTGATTTTCTTCCCATCTTTCAGATTTGTTGCTTCTCATCCTTCTTTCACTGCGTACCCCTGTGGAAAGCCTGGCTCCATCTTCATTTCACACCCTGATCAGTGTAGCTGTAGACTGCAATAAGACACCTCCAAAGATTTCTCTCCTGCAAAGCTGAAGAAACACAGCTTCCCCAGCCTCTCTTCASACATGCCATGCTCCATTCCCTGACCATCCTGTTAAGCCTTCTGCTGGCCCCAGTATCAGTCTCTGAAGGGTAAACAGAGGTAACAGGCTGCTAATTCACACTTTGTGAGTCTGATGGCCACATCTGCGCCCTACAGTCCAGTCCATATACCACACACCCCATCACCCACCTAAGCAGTCTGTGTCTCACTAGTTTGGGTCTAAAGACACTATGAGAGAACACGTCAAAGACTTTCCTAAAGTCAAGGCAGACAACATCCCTTCATCCATTGAGCCAATCATCTCATGGCAGAAGTCAGTCAGGTTGACCAGATACAATTCAGCCTTGGTAAAAGCATAAAAGTGTGTAAGGAGTGTTTAAGGGAACAAAGAGGTAAGATTTGGCCTGCCTGTTCTCAATCATCACCTCATTGTCCCTTTCTGTGCTACGAAAAGGATTCCAAAAGAATTTGCTTTGTAACCTCCCCAAGTATTGAGGCTGACTGGCCTGTAGTTCTCCAGACCCTCCTTGTCCTTCTTGGCTCTGGGGGTGACACTGGCCTTTTTCTAGTCATCGAGTACATCCCCTGATTACCTTGACTTGAAGTCTTTTCTGTCTCCATCCCTGCATGCCTCAATTGTCTCCCATGCCTGCTTTGAACTTCTGTTGACATCTTTTTCTGCATTTGAACAAATTCACTGTTSTGGTGCTTTGAGGACAGTGTTAAGGAGTCCGTGAAGCTCAACCAGCTCCTTGTGCCCATTTACCCTACGGGCTAGTTTCCCATTGGAGCCTGACAAAAGCAGCAATGAAGGAGCCAAAATCGGCTCTCCTGCAGTATGAGGTAGTGATTCATTCATCGGTCTTTCCTACTTCTCTTGGTGTTTGGAACTCCAGCATCTGAGAATCACTGTAGCCAGGGATGCCTCAATCTTTAGATCTCCAAGCAGTTCTTCCTCATTTGTGAGCACGTATCCCTACCTTGTCAGCCCACTGATGACCTGTGTTAAAACACTGTCTTCAGCACACTCCAAAAATTTCCTGCACTGTTTGTGCTCAGACCTATTGCCCTTCTAATGGATTTTGAGTAGGCTGAAGCCCCTCATTAACAACAAGGCCATTT